CGGGGCTGCGGCCGGAGGTGCGACATAGTAAAAAGTTTTAGGGCAGCGCTGAGGGCCCGCTTGGCTACGGGAGCTACCGAGCGTCCCGAAATCCCAGGGCCCTTCTCTCCTGCTGGAGAGCACAGGTAATACAGCGGGGTTTGCTCAGTTCTGCCGTGCCAGCAAGGCCCCGGTTACTTAAATAAACTGGTTACATTGCTGGCACCTCACTTGAATCCTTTTAACCTGTTCGCCGCTGGTGTTTTGCTGCCGCTGCGCAGCGGCGTTCCTCTGCGGTGCCCAAAACGCGTCGCCGCGCAGGAAGCGTCACCGGTGGATGCGTACCTGGTGCTTTTACTGTCTGCGAAACTCGTTTTCAAAATGATACTTGGAAATTGAGCCACAGAGCTTCCTTAGGCACATGGGCAGTCGCACAGCTGTCTCTGCGTGTCACTTAGAAAAGTGAATCTACTTTGTGCGGCGGCAGGGGAAGGAGCCGCGTTTGTAGCAGCTGGAGCGTGTGCGCTTTGCTCGAGGAGCGTGCTGCCCCGCTGAAGCCCGGGGGGCTCCAGCTGCGAACGAGGGGTACGCGCTCGCCTTGGCCTGCAGAGTGGGAGCTTCAGTCAAAAAGTGGGAGCTTCAAAAAGTGGGTTACGTGGGCTGGGGAACGGGGAGCAAACGGTGGGGCCAGGCAGGCTGGAGGACCGCGGCACCGTGGGGGCGAGTTGGGGGTGGCAGGGATGATGGGCTGGGTGGGTGAGTCAGGGGCCACCCGGCAGAGGCTGGGGGAAGGCCACACACGTCACGGCAAGCTGTGGAAGGCTTCCTACGTGTAGCATAGTTTTCATGGCACATGCCACAGGCCAGAAAACAGGGTTGAAGATGTACGGTGTGATTAGCCCAGTGTACTTTGAAAGAATATATGTTTAACAGCTTGCATTTTGGAGGTGTTTGCATCGTGACTAACAGTCTCTGTGCTTCACTGCAGCTTAATTTAAAAAGTGATTGCCTGAAAACAGGTTAATGGGATAAACAGTGCCCGATAATTTTATTACAAAATAACTTTATTTGAATGTCTTAGTCATACCCTAGCATACCACAGCATACCAAGCCATCAGATATATCACAGTTTTTAGTCTCGTAGCATGACGTTGTCTCCTTTCTAGCACTTGTGGTTATCATCTCTTAGCTGAAGTGTCAGAACTGCTGCCCAGATCTTAAAAGTTGAAAATAAAATAGTGCCCACCAGAAAGGCAGCTCTTGTTGCAAAACACTCTCTTCTAGTTTTAGTTAACTGGGTAGAGCAAGTGCTGTTTGTGAAAAGAGTAATAGAGTCCTTTTTACCCATAGATAGCCTCTGGGGAAATCCCTTAGTCACGAATTAGGTGAGTAGCAGAATATTTCAAAAACAGTATGAGGTATTTAGAAATGGAGAAGAGGTAATGAAGTCTTAAGTTAGAGAAATGGAGAGTATAAAAGGGCTCAATCATTCATTTGTTGGTTGCAGGATATTAAATATACTTGTCCTCAGCTCTTGTCTGTCCAGACCCATAAATGGCAGGCACATTTTATATTAGAGCTTATTGCATGTTAATGCTACCATTTATTGGCTTTACTTAATTATTGAAATTTTTGCCTTCACATATAAGGTCCATAACCATATTCTCAAACAAGGTTATTGTTGGTTAACTTTTGGTATTTATACACAGTCTGTTTTATTTGGGAACGATGCAACTATCTGCTCTCTTAAACATACAAAACCACTAATATTTTTCAGAATGTACGGCACGAGTTAAAGATTTTGAACATGCACTTGTGTAATGGACACAGCCTCTAGTTCTCTTTATTGTCCCAAACATTGTATTTTAATTTGAAACCTTCATTGGTTGAAAGTTTGCCAAATGTGTAATTCACCACTGATCTAACAGTAAGAGCAGGTCTAAACATGCACAGTAATACGAAGGTTGCCAGCCCTTTGCTTGTATCTGTGGATACCAAAAACAGCAGAACCAGTTTAGAATACTAGAACAACAGAATGCAGAACAAAATCTTGTTGTACAAGTTTTAAAACTTTTATCTGTGTAACCTTTGTAAGGATTGTAGTGTTTTTTTTGTGCTTTGTAATTAAGTAGCTCAAGTCCTCATGTTCCCCTCTGTGCCTCGCTGTGTTTCCTTCTGCAGTATATATAGTAGTGATGATGACGAAGAAGATGTTGAGATGTATGATCACGATTATGATGGTCTGCTTCCTAAGACTGGAAAACGTCACCTAGGAAAAACCAGGTGGACCCGCGAAGAGGTAAATCCAAGTTCATTTATCTGCTGCATGTAAAAAGACTGAGAGCGCATGGGTCACATTCTTCTCTGAGTTGCTTATCTGCAAACTAACTTGAGTGACAGTTCCATACACAGGAGCGAGGACAAAGTTTTCAACCCTTTAGCCACATTCAGTGTTTTATTTAACTTTGAGATCATTCTCTGTTAAATAAAATGTATAAACACTGTTTTTTTATGCCCACCAAGGGCTACATTACAGGTATGTGAGTCTCCGTGTAATCGCTGTTGGAGAAACAGATTAAGAGTCACCTGCAGCAATGCTTGATTGTTGCTGCTGCCTCTTTTTGTTTGAAAGCGGTTGCTATGCGAGAACTGACGTGTGTTCAGTGTCCCACAGCAGCAAACAACTGTGGCAGAAACTGCTGCAGTCCTTTTGTGCCATTTGCAATTTGCAGTTGAATTGCAGCATTATGATTCTGAGTGGAAATAAATTATAAGCTGGAAGAAAGAAATCCAGCAGTACCAAAATTGAGCATTCAAGATGAATTTTGGTTTTGAAGGTCAGAATGCGTTTTAGTCGCGGTACCCTTGTGCTGACTTCCCAGGTAAATTGTGGTATCAGACTCCTTTGCCAGGTGGATATCCTGTGGCCATTTAACTGGTTTGAGTTTATTGTGAAATACATTAATACAGTTCTTAAGCTATGTTTTGACTTTCTCCTCTCTAACAATGTATATTGATATATAAACAGTGGCAGGTCACCTCTTGCAAGCATTTTTTTAATTTTTTTTAAATCAGTCTGCTCTTACAGAGGTGGATGCGTTTGTGATGTGGCCTGGGAGGAAGAGATGGCCCTGGAGCCCAATGGCCACTTTCCTGTCACATGAACTGGGAGCGTACTGGGAGGCGCTAATCGGGGAAGGGGAGGGTTGCTCCCCTCCTCTTATCTCTTGGGGCAGTTCTCGCTTGTCTTACACGATCTCGATCTTTCCCAGTACATGAGATGATTGGTTTCTTTTGTCTTTAGGGTCTATATTTCTGGCCTTATCATTAAAAATACTGGGCCAAATTTCTTGCTACTGCGAGTATGCAAAACTCCCTCACGGTGATCAGGAGCAAAAAGGAGCCATTAGTTTTATTGTGCATTCATTGTACACGGATAGGCAATGAGCAAATTACTGGAACTTCCATGACTTGCAAGACATATAAAGCTTAAGGCTGTGATTTTCAGAGGTCCCCAGACAGCTGGGTGCCTGAGTGTTACCAAATTTCATTGTTATTCTCATGCCTGGCATCTAAACATCCATGCTCTCCTGTAAATCCAGTACAAGTTACATTCCTTTGAGCAGTAAAATGGGAACGTATCATGCGAGTCAAAGGACAGCAGAGAAAAAGTCAGTCTTTCTCCTGCAGCACATTAAAGAACCTACCAAAATCCACAGTAGAAAAATCTCCTGATGTAGGCCATTCAAAATACGAGAAGACTACAGACCACCTCCCCTTACACTCAGGATGCAGAAACAGATGCATAAAAAGCTAGAAGGAGGCAATTTTTTTGAGTGTATTTCATTTGCATTATAAGAGATTGCGATATTAATTATGTCTGTTTTTTCTAATGATTCAGGATGAGAAACTGAAGAAGCTTGTGGAGCAGAACGGCACAGAAGACTGGAAAGTCATTGCCAATTTCCTTCCTGTAGGTGGATATTGGTTTCTGTTTCCAGTTCTAGTGACAACTCTTTATCAGAGGTTTCCAAGTAAGGGGAAGGGGAGTGGTTGCTTTATAGTTACATTTTTGCGGGAGATATAAAACCTCCACAGATGGAGACCTCGGAAATTTAGTTAGAATATTGTGAAAACCCTTACTTTTATTTTCTTTTTATTTGGGTTGGAGGAGTGTTGCACAGTAGATGGTCAATGTGACGCTGAAACAAAATGTCTCAGCGCAGGTTTAAAATAGCTTTGAATTGTAAGTGTGGTTTAGAAGCTAATTGTTTTGCGAACACTTTGGCTGTTGTAGAAATACTGCATGTGAAAGCATGACAGCTAGTGTGACAGATGGTGAAGATTCAGTTTGTGTAGTTTTGGTGATACAGACATCACTGCAGGAGCGATGGAAATATTGTCTAGTTCAGTGAGCAAAGTGATAGCTGAGCACCTTCTTCTTGGACCTACTGTATCACTCCATATTGTTTAGTAGCCGTAGCTGAAATGCATCGGGGAACAAGCATGCCTAGATAAGAGCGTTATCACTCTGCATTCATCTTGTCTAAAGAATGATCTACTTTGCATATTTTACATTTCACTAGAATCGGACAGATGTGCAGTGCCAGCACCGATGGCAGAAGGTACTAAACCCAGAACTTATTAAAGGTCCGTGGACTAAAGAGGAAGATCAAAGGGTAAACAGTTTTCCTTTCCGTCTGATTAATGCCTTACTAGTGGATTTCATGTGTCGGGGCAAAACTCCTAGAGACTTTGGTGGTCTCAACACTCCTATGGCCAGAGGCAGACTGATCCTATCAGTATCAATGCTTAGTATTTGTGTATTGCTTTCTAAGTTTTCTATGCAAATTAATTAATGTTGCTTTACAGCACTGTAATGCAAAATTGCAGTCTAGAAATGCCTTAACTAGTACCAGATTTTTCCTTTTGGGTAGAAGTATAAATGGGAAGTGGGGAACCTTAATTGTGTGTTAGTTTTACTGTGGCAATTTTGAGAAATGTTGTTGAAAATATTGCTCCACCACAGAAAAATTTCATTGATTCATTATGCATCATTAAATACAGGCAGTTTTTATGTCCTTCTTTGAAGGTAATAGAACTCGTGCAGAAATACGGTCCAAAGCGCTGGTCTGTCATTGCTAAGCATTTGAAGGGAAGGATTGGAAAACAGTGCAGGGAGAGGTGGCACAACCATTTGAATCCAGAAGTGAAGAAAACCTCCTGGACAGAAGAGGAAGATAGAATTATTTACCAGGCACACAAGAGACTGGGAAACAGATGGGCAGAAATTGCAAAGTTGCTGCCTGGACGGTAATGACATATACCTTTAGCTCTTAAACAGGAAAAAAGGAAAAAGCTGCAGGTCTGAGCAGTCCGTTTCAGTTGCCTCAGGCTGCACTTTATAAATCAAAGAAATTTTGGAATCAAAACCTGGAAAGCCAGTGACATTGATGTGTGTTTTTTGCAGTGGGGAACTGTGCTGTTTGGTCAGTACATGGAACAGTACGTTATTTTTACATGCTTTTAATGTTTGCCATAGGTAAAAAGCCCCAGTAACTAGAGCAAGACCGTAACAGTTTCCTAAACGTCTGTGCAATCTTATTTGTGCTTGCAATAACTGTCAAAATTTAAATTGATTTAACAGGGGAGGATCAGGCTCTGGAAGTGGAACATAATTTACATTCAGCTAAGGGTATGCCTTCAACATGAAATCCAGTCTGTTTATTCAAAATTATTTAAGAGAAGGCTGCTTCAACATTTGTAATTGCTCCTGAATCATCCAGATGATTTTGACCTGTTAAAAATCCATGTATAAAACAGGAGAAACTGACTTCCTCAAACTCTGGTCATGGAAATACTTGTCTCCTTGAAAGCTTATGCACAGCTTGCATATAATTTCAGAGATTCAGTGTCTTATTCGCTCTGTAGTAAAAGTGACTCAACATAAAAGTGTTGTCAAGCAAATAATGTGAGCAAGGGAGAGGTTTCCTTTCCCATTTTTATTCCTGCTATTTGGTGAAACATCTTCAAGATCTAAATATAATGCCTAAGATCATGATAGTCTTTTAAGTGGGCATTCCCTAGGCTGCTTTCACCTTCTAGAAGAAAACGAGAAAGGAATTACCCCTTGGAAAGTTTTTTTTGTAGCTTCCACACATCACAGGTACTGCTTTCAGCGGTACCGTGTGGTGGTGATGTTTTTCAAATACAGGAGCTGTTTCTAAGCGTACTCTTAAAATCTCGCAGACTTGATAAGTTTGCTTTTTCTGACTCATGTATGTGAGAAGTTGAATCTCAGTTTTTCTGCAGCTAAGAAAAATCCCAACAGCTTTGTTTACTGCACTCGTGTGTAGAGCATGATGGTGGCCAGTGGGAGAGTTGCTTGGAAGTTAGTCTTTTCACAGCTGTTCTCCACGGTCTTTCTTTCCAGCAATGAGATACAGTAAAACTCCACTGTAATATTAAGACTTAAGAAGATGATGTTGGCAGTCCTTTAAGGTAGCCTCAAAGGGGTGTTAGCCTTTGCTGTCACTTCCCATGAGGTGAAGCTGAAGTTATTAATTTCTTACAGTTTGAGGACCTAAGGCTCACAGATTTCTTTAAAAAGTACATAAACAACCGTAACCTGTTCGTCTTTTCCCTTACCTTTTATACTGAGCACCTTTCCTGAGAAGTTGCGAGTAGCATTTGTAAAGGTGGGGGCAGGAGGAAGGTCAGAGAACAGCTCAAGGTTTAATCAGAAATGCCGACAGCAATTTCCTGCCTATTAATCTGTCTGAACTGGAAATGCTCGTTTTAAAAACTCCTCAAACGTATCTATTTCTGTTGCAGAACTGATAATGCTATCAAGAACCACTGGAATTCCACCATGCGCCGAAAGGTTGAGCAGGAGGGCTACCTGCAGGAGTCCTCCAAAGCCTGCCACTCCTCAGCAGCCGCTGGCTTTCAGAAGAGCAACCACTTGATGGCCTTTACTCACAACCCGCCTTCTGCACAGCTGCCAGTAGCCGGCCAGCCCCCGCTGAGCAGTGACTACCCCTACTACCACATCTCTGAGCCACAAAATGTAAGCGCCTGAAAGTGTGGGGGGCGTTGTTTTGCTTTGGTGCATACATAGGTGGGCGCAGTTTCGCCATACCTGATTTCAGGAGGCATGAAGGGTTTTCTCCCAGTCTTGGTGGACTTGTATGTGTTTGATGTCAGGTGAGGACTTCTTCGGCTTTGACTTCATTCAGTGATAAAATACATGTACTTCAAATTGATTGCTGGCATTCAGGTGGTGGAATCGGGTTCAGCGTTTTTAACATCTTGTAAGCAGTGAACATGTTTCCAGTACTGTTTCTTAGAGTGGTGAATATTACATTTCTTGAAAATCAGTTGAATCTGGTAAATTCTGTGTTCTGTGGCAAAATCTCCCACGTTCCCTTCAGTAATATTCTGTTTCTGGGTTGCCTGTCGGAACCAAGTAAACAAGTATTGGTTTTAATCTGATTCCTTTCCTATTAGTGATTAATAATGAAACAGGCTGCTGCTTCAGACAGTTACATTGTAGAGTTTTAGCTGATAATAAATTGCATCTTTTGCATTTTCACTTCAACTTAGAAAAAATCTTACAAATGCATCCATAAATTATTCATCTTTTCTCATTCAAAAAAGATAGGTATTTCATATATGAATTTTCTTTCTTCCTCTGTAATGCTCACTGTCATATTCCTAAAAAACTGTTTACTTTTCTTGTAATCGTTGCTGGGTTTTTTGCTATTTCATCTCCATAGATTATAAATATTAAGTACCTAAAACCAAAGTATGTTTACCACAAGTTCACAATGTAGGCAGACAATCTGATAGAAATAATAACTTTCAGTGTCTTTTGCTTTTTGGCCTAGGTCCCTGGTCAGATCCCATATCCAGTAGCACTGCATGTAAATATTGTCAATGTTCCTCAGCCAGCTGCTGCAGCTATTCAGGTAGATAACTTGAACCTCATTTCGAGAGTCAATTTGTTAAACATTTGATAAGTCAAAATGCAGACATCGTACATTAAGGAAACATTTTAATGTAATAAGTGTGGTGAAGACAGAAAATGGGGAAGGTGGGGGAGTTCTAACATGGCTAATAATTGCTTCTTCTGAAGTGGATTTAAAACACAGTAGTTGACATCTGGTGTGATAGCTTTCACTTTCTCCATTTCAAATGTCTATACTGAAATTCAGCAGGGACTTTGGTAGTGGAAAACACAATTGACATTTGTTTCATCTTTGAGTCTAATTTGGCTGTTATAACCACAGGACGGCAAGCCATAAGCATTTTAGTTGCTACATCCTATCAGACCTTTATCTTCTCTTTTCCCTTAACTCTTAATTTCAGAGACACTATAATGATGAAGACCCTGAGAAAGAAAAACGAATAAAGGAATTAGAGTTGCTACTAATGTCGACTGAGAATGAACTGAAAGGGCAGCAGGCATTACCAGTAAGATTGTCACTGTGTGCTTGGATGGAGGGATAGCAGCATTACCCCAGTGCTTGTCTTTTTAACTTTTTACTCCCCCTCTGCTTTCAATACTAATCAAGGCTCTATATTTCCGTTTTAAAAGGATGAAACATAGCACATACATCATCTGTATTTGCTTCGTAAATTCTTTTATTGAAAAAAAAATGCAAACAATTTGCAGGTATTTTCCTTCGCAAAGTGGGAGCAGGGCTGGGCTCTGTGACATGATGTAATGTTGGAAACACGATGATTGTACGAAAATGAAAAATCCCACGGATCTTAAATCAATGGGATCTGCATTTCTGAAAGTGTGCAATGGTTCATGTGATGAAAATGTAGTGCCTGTATATTAGATTTTTCTTCTCTGTTGTATTCTTTCCTTCAGCTGTGTTTTATACACTTCGTAAGCTTCAGACTTGGTGCATGTTTGACAGTTTGTTTTACTTTTCCAAATAATGTTAGATTCTTCATAACTGCATGTGTGGAGCAAATGCTGGCTATTACCGAATTCTCACACTTCGTTGTATATGCCATTGGATGTTAATGTGTGAAAACCCTTACGTAATTACTTAACACCATCACCAAAGCCAAGAATCCCCAAATCGTTTTTGAAGATAGGTGATAGCCAGCAGATTCTTTTTTTGGGTAATATTTAAATTAATAGTAAAACAACTGCATGCATGATACGTTAGTTTGGCCACTTTTTAACTTTAGTTAATGTTTTGCAATTTCTTCTGTTGCATGATCACACTGGAAAGAAACTTCTGTTAATTTGTTCTTCTGCTTTCCTAACCACGTTGATTTGACAGCCTCTTCATTGCATTGGTGTAAGCTGTAGCATTAGACAGGGATAGAAGAAGAAAAGGAGATAAGCAAACAAAAGCAACTCTAACTCTTAAACCCTTTAGCCTTCTACAGTGCTGAGCGCTCAGTAGGGAAATCCTGCCGTTTCTTGCTTCTCACAGAAAATGACTTGCAGGCACTTTTTGAGCTTTCAGAGTAACACAGTATGAATTGATTATGTGTTAGTAATGATATACGCTCATAATCCTGGAAGTAAATTATGAGGTAACTTTGGGATAACAAATACAATGCCAATATTACTTAAAACGAGATCTTGCACTGATGAAAGGAAACATCTTGACAATTGTTTCATAGGCATAAGCTTTTAGATGATGATGCAACTACTTTTATCTTTCCTCCAGTGGCCTCTGACACCTTGTGCAATTTCATTGCTAAGTTCCTTCTGCCTTTTTTCCCCCCCCCTTTTCTTTTTTTTTTTTTTTTTCCTTCTTCCTTTAGACACAGAACCACACATCAAACTACCCCGGCTGGCACAGCACCGCGATTGCCGACAGTACCAGGACCAGTGGTGACAATGCACCTGTTTCCTGTTTGGGGGAACATCACCACTGTACTCCGTCTCCACCAGTGGATCACGGTTGCTTACCTGAGGAAATTTTTTTTATTTTCTTTTCCCTTTTTTCCCCCCCCCCTTTTTTTTTTTTTTTTTTTTTCCTTCTTCCTTTAGACACAGAACCACACATCAAACTACCCCGGCTGGCACAGCACCGCGATTGCCGACAGTACCAGGACCAGTGGTGACAATGCACCTGTTTCCTGTTTGGGGGAACATCACCACTGTACTCCGTCTCCACCAGTGGATCACGGTTGCTTACCTGAGGAAAGTGCATCCCCTGCACGGTGCATGATTGTTCACCAGAGCAACATCCTGGATAATGTTAAGAATCTCTTAGAATTTGCAGAAACACTCCAGTTAATAGACTCCGTAAGTAGACTTGCCGCCTCAGGTGGATTCGTGCGTGGTCAAGGAGTAAGGGGAGAGGAACTGGGGCAGTCCTAAATGTGTTTCTTTTTTTTTCCGAGTAACTTCTCATTGCTACAGGATCTGAAGCTTAGCTTCTGACATAACAAAACGTGGCTGCTCATAAATGAAGCCCTCGAGCGTGGATGCGTATGCTTTTTGTGGGTGTCTCCCTTTCCTGCTGCATATTGGTATGGGAGTGTGCATTTTAGCAAACTGCACAATAGGAGCTTGAAACGATCTCTCGATATTAAGTCTCCTTAAAATAAAGTCAGAGTCACCGTGAAAGATTTTAAACAATGAAATGATATTTATTTATTTATATTTGAAGTGACACACCATAGGTTTATGTGTGGCTGCTCATGTATCTGCATCATTTTCTAAAAGTTCTTCTTGTAGCTTCAATAGCTGCTTCTCAAAGTTTAAGGAGCTTGCCCTGGCATATGTAAAGAACTGGAAACACATTTTAATTGCCAAGTAGCTGACTGATGTTGACATGGGCCTTTTCTCATTGTGGTCTCTGGGATACTATGTGTAACAGAAGTGGCACATTGAAATACATTTGTTGGTGGCACCCTCCTTCAGCAGCACAGGCGTCTGCTTCATGCAGAGTCACGTCCCGTTCAGCATGTCCAGAGCAGGCGTGCAGGTTAGGAGGAGACCAGTTTTGGTTTAGAGCCCAAGGCACACATTTTTTTGGTAGCAAAGGCACTGTCTTCATACCAAGCAGAAAACCCTGGGCAAGTAGATAGTAAGGACATCATTTGAGTAATGGTTTCTTTAGGGACTCAGTTGCCAGCAACACTACTGGGATGTTAGACGGTTTGATGTGATCAAGTTATATATTGAAAACACAAATAAGCATTCACGGTGTTGCTACTCAAATAAACAGGGTCAAGCTGAATTGAACTGGGAAAGACTTTGTTGTTGTTGTTGGTTACGGGTATATCCTAGCGCTGTATTTTCATGAGGTGGCACTGTACACTGTCTTATAGCTCCGTGCCTCCCACGTTGTTTCAGGATCCTTCATCATGGGGTGATCTCAGCAGTTTTGAATTCTTTGAAGACACAGATACTTCGGCTAGCAAAGCTCCCTCAGGCAAAGTCGTGCAGCTTCAACAGAGAGGGGCCAGTGCTTGTAGACCTCAAGGACACCCCGTCACAAACTTGAGCAAAATCATGTCGAGTCAGGGCTCTCCTGGCTCACCAAAGTCCTTATCTGCCTCACAGGGCAGCGCGGCTCTTCGCAAAAGGAGAGGGCACTCCAGCCCCTTAGCCAGTGGCCACGGTAGCACCTTGGTCCTAGCTGACGTCAGCAGCTCAACTCCTCCTAAGCGCTCCCCTGTCAAAAGCCTGCCCTTCTCTCCCTCGCAGGTAGATCAAGACTTATGCACAGATGTTACTAATTCTCAAAAGTCACCCCAGCCTTAACAATTTAGAAACTAATCCTTTGGAACAAATGACTAATTACCGTTGCACTTGTTGATTTCACTCCGTGTTTGAATCTTCTCACTGCTCTTAGTCTTCACCACTGAGTTTAGATCATCAGCAAGCTAACTGTTGATTCTCTTATTTTAAATTCATCCGTGGGGCTTGGGTTGGTTTTTTGTTTTTGATTTGGATCATTTTTGTAGGGGAATATGATTGCTTGCTTTGCTCTTGCTGTTAACTCCTTCAACTACTAGAGTTTAACATCTCTGATCATTTGTAATACTTTCCATCTCTGTCCACTTACAGTATGATTCATTGACCTAGAAAACCCCAAACTGCATTTAAATAGGATTCAGGTTGTGAGACAAACTGACAACAACCAGAAAATTCAAATCACGGCTCGCCATCCTCAACCCAGGCCACGTGGGGTGGAGCGGAATAGGAATGAGGAGGAGAACGGCCTGTTAAAATGGCCTGGCGTGCACTTCCAAATTCCTGATGATGGTTGCTTTGTTTCACAGCTGTAGCACTATTTAAAAGTGTTTTGGTTTTTTTGTTTGTCTGTGTTGGTTTTGCCTTGGTTTGGCTTTAGTCCTTGAAGTCAGAGAAATGCTATTTCATGAAGGATAGTAAAAGATTGCGTGTAATGATCTCCCACTGTATCTCCCATTACCTATTAGGTATTTTAATCACATTTATCCAGTGAAATCCATATTTTCTTACATGCCATATTTTTGTAAAGTGTATTTTAATCCGATGCAAGTTGAGTCTAGAAGGTAATACAGTGAATCGTTGTCAGAATAAAGGATACCACTATGCTCAGAGATTTGTAGACACTAGAAATGGAAACAATATGTTAGGTTACTAGGTAGAATTCTTACAAAAGCAATTTTCTCCAAACTAATACTGCCACCTCCTTTTTGGTCAGCTATTTCCATTCCAAAACACTCCACGCACCCATCACAGGTGGCAGTTTTCATTTTATGCTGTGAAAAAGGAGCACTTTGTTTTGAGAGAGATGATAGGAAATTTCTTTTCCTGTCAGAAACACTTTATTTACTGCCTTAAAAGCACCTAGATTCCCTATATAAATCTTTGTGGAATTTAGCCCTGTTGCCTGTGGGTTTATTCTGGAAATATCCCTTACTCATTTTCACCCGGTTCTTACTTGGGCCCACTGCTCTTGATATTAATTAAAATTTATTTGCAGAAAATCCAAATCAGGCTTTTAAGATGTGGCTCTTAAAGTGGCGGAGAGTGTTTCTCATTGGAACAGAGTGTCATTTGCTTTATAACTTCCCTCTCTAGAAATGCTCGTTTTGGCTTCCTGAGTGCTCCAGCCAAACTGTTGAGTATTGTTGTGCCATGTAGTCAGGCACCCCATGTACACCTATCCACATCGTAGCGTCAGGAGAATCACTTCTGTCAATCAGAAGGAAATAATTTCTTTTTCTTTTGTTCAATAACGTCAACTTAAGAAGTCAACGTTGTAATCTGGATGTTCCTGTTGATTTTTCCTT